GCCCTGGCTGCACCAGCCAAGGAACAGAAGGAGGTGATAGTGGTGAAGGAGACCCTCCACGAGAACAATGGCCTCCCCGAGGGCTATCAGTACGGATATGAGCTCTCTGACGGCAGCAGCAAGCAGGAGCAGGCACAGTTTGAGGAAGCCGTCGACGAGGAGGGCAAGCCCGTTCAGGCGATCGTCGTCAGGGGTTCATACAGCTTCGTCGGAGAGGACGGTGTCACCTACACCATCAACTACACCGCTGACAGCAACGGATTCCACCCAGAGGGTGCTCATCTCCCTGTTGCTCCTGTTGCCTAAATTGCATTCATCACTCTTCACTTTGCAGTTCAATAAATCACCGATTTTACCAAACAATGATTGTCTTTCGCATTTTTAAATTTAAATCAACTCTCCACTATTCCCGGAATTAGAGGAATCCGTTGTATCCGATAATTGATTAATTATCTTCTCAAGAAGATACCATCGCTGCACATGCAATTTCATAAACAACCCTTTTATCAACAGTAATAAACAACTGATCACCCGTGATTTCTGCATTATCGATTTTTCATTTGAATTTTAAAAGATTAAATCGCGAACCGCGAATTACTTCTATACCTACTAATTATTCCCGTAATTATGATTCTTGGTATTCTGAGGATTCAATTGACAGAACAACAAATCGATAATAACTTTCACACTAATCAATCCTATCGACTCCCTCATAAACACCTATCACTTTCCACTGATTGCGTTATCGCAATTTGTCTACTTCTTCTCGTTTCTTCATTTTCCATCGACTCTATTATCCAACAATTCACCTTTTAAAAAATCTAATGCAATATGTGATATTTTCCTCATCACTCGACGATTTACGAAATAACAATTTGAATAGTTTACCTAGAACCTCGAGGCCACCAATATTTGAGGTGCCATCATTGACTTTCTGAATTTCTCAAGTGTCAGATTTCAAAGATATTTACTTTCTTCACGTGAGTCCGCCTAAATAAATAAACAAATAGAAGAAAAAACGAAACTATTCCAATTTTCCATTTCACATTTCCGAAAAATTTTCGTCTTTTAATAAACCAAAAATTAAAAAACCCAAATCTATTTAATTATTATTTCCAATTATTTATTCTTTCCTCTATTATTGTTTATTATATTTTTAATATATTTTGTTGTTATTTTATTCAATGATCTGCAGTTTTTAAACATTATATTCTGTTTACAGAAATAATTCCCAGAAGATAACGAGAAGATGAGGAAATTCTCATATTCTCGATGCGGAAACTAGAATTCCTCAACTCCTGAAGTCCTTGACTGCATAAAGTCGCTTTTACATCCAAGAATGAATTCCTCATTTTTTACCCACACCAGAATTATTTTTTATTGCATTATTATCCAAGACAGCTTATTCCAGGGTTAATAAATTATTAACAAAGTGCTCGTCCTCTTCAGGATTGTATAACACCAGAAATTCATATCCCGCAACTCAAATTAAAAAATCAAGTAAAACGATCTTCTAGACGAAAATAAATAGATTATTTATCCCATCTAGTCATTTCAGTAATTTCCACATGCATTTTGTTTAATTTTTTCCTCGACGTATTGTTATTAATTGAAATATCGTAAAAACTCCATTATTTATTTCGTATAAATAAACTATCCACTCACAGATTCTAATGAAATAAATAATTATCGCTTTTAATAAATTGAAAACAATAATTTCCGCCGATTGAGTTAATCTATCAGTAGATTAATCATCCAGAATAATTTTCCATTACGAAATAATTGATGAAATAATAAATAATAATTGAATCCATAAATTTATTTTTCATTTACGCCCATTAATTATCAGACAAATCTAAATAATTGTCAAAGAAGTAATTGTTTAAATAACTTGCGAAAAATGTTGTAAAAAATAAAACAGATAAACATAATGATTTTGGTAAAATATGTAATTTATTAAAAATCAAATGACTGACAAAATGGCTTTAAGCAACTGGAGCAACAGGAAGATGTGCACCCTCTGGGTGGAAACCGTTCTGATCAGCTGTGTAGTTGATGGTGTAGGTGACACCGTCCTCTCCGACGAAGCTGTATGAACCCCTGACGACGATTGCCTGGACGTGATTGCCCTCTTCGTCGGTGGCATCCTCGAATTGCGCCTGCTCCTGTTTGCTGCTGCCATCGGAGAGCTGGTACTCGTAGCCGTATCCCTCGGGTAGACCTACGTTGTTGTGCTCCACCTGTTTCAGGACAACCACTTCCTGTTCCTGAGCCTGACGCTGAGGAGCTGCCACTGCTACAGCCACGAGGGCAACGAGGACAAGCATCTGAGGATATTTACACATCTTATCAACACCTTATCAATTAAATTCTAAAAATTATCAACTATCTAATTAATAATTCATCTTAATGCAATTTTGTTTATTCATTTAAATTTTTTAAACAAGAACTATAGATATATATTTATATCTGTAGCTCCATTGTTATTATTATTATTTATTATTAATGATGCAATTTATTAATCTCAACTATTTTCCGATTAATGAGTAATTATTCATGAAAATATCGGTTGATCGGCATTGATGTCTCCACCATTACAGCGAATATCTCGAAAACCGTTGGGTTTACGGAAAAAAGTGAAAAACTTTTTTTTGTAGTTCATAAAATTCTCCACGAAATTGATATTTCACATTTTTCCGTACAACCATCGACGCTCGAGATATTCCGCAATGAAAAAAACGTAGTAACGAAAACCGCACGATGCGCGCAAAGAATTGCGAATAAAATTTCCCTAATTAAATTATTATCCGACAATTATTGTCCAGCCCCACTTGACACCCAGGAAAGAAGATATCACTGGAGAAAATATTGATGAGGAATAAATCCGTGACACACACCATTTTCATGTTGACCGTTGAATTTATTTGACTGACTTGAGTCGAGAGGGGAACTGATGTCGTTGGATGGCCCAGGCACACCTTATATACTCCCAAAAAATCGATTCAATCGAATTCCCCACTCGTATTCCCATTATTTAATCCTTCCAGGCATCCTCTCGAGAGCATTCCGCCGAAATCGTCTGATCTTTCGAAATACCCACCTCCTCCCACTGTAGCTCTCTCTTTCCAATTGAGTCAATGAAAAAAAAACCCATCCCAATCCTCAACATGTCTCATCCCAATGCCATATACCTAATTCAACCTATATATTACCTATTTAACAATCAATTAATTAAACAATAACTCCACTAAATCTCCACCTTATCTCTACATTTAAAATATAATAATTAAATTAATTCGTTAATTGATCTAATTGATTTTTTGACTCGATGTTTTATCACTCATTATAATTTGAAATTTCATCGATTTCCTCTTGAAAAAAAAAATTAATTGATACAACAATTTAAAAAAGACGAATTATTGGTGTAATGAATAACTTTTAATCCAATACTACTAAAAAAATATTAAACAATAAGAAAAAATGATTTATTGAATACGATGACATCACGAAATTCAGAAATAGATCTAGACTCGTTCGACTTTCTCTCCAAAAAGTCTTGGCCTACCGTCAATAATTCAGAGATAAAATTATTCATTTACTCAATGAAATCAGCAATTATATCAAATAAATAAATAAAAGTGATTAAAATTCGTCATTAATTTCAAGGAAATAATGGAAAAACAGTAGTTGACATTAAACTCCAGCGAGCTCATATAAACTGATTTAATCCCACAGTAACGAACAGAAAACCTGCAATTCATATCCACAACTGAAAAAATAGTCATCACCAATAATCGAAATGCGGCAATATAAACAAATTAGAATGATCATTACCCATAAAACGACTCCCTAATCGTAAATTGGCGAATAGTATATTTTTTTTTATTGCTGGAAGAGAAAATAAATAATCAAATGCCGAAACGACGAAGATAAATTCCAAAGAGAATCATCAGTAACGTAAACAAATCCTACTGGACATTAGAAATTAATATGCCATAAATAATCAATGGAAAAAGGCCTCGCAATCATAATTTCCCTTTCATCCACCTCATTTGACTACCAGATATGAACAAACGAGTTTTCTCGCAACCGTTGTCTCCAGGAGATATCGAAAGATCATATGCCGATGATTAAAGCGGTTACACCAGTCCCATCAATCCAACGTGTCCCATTAATATCGAGTAGTTGTCCGTGAGTCCTTAAAACTCAAGTGAATCAACAATAAATTCAATCACTCGTCGAATTTAACGAGAGAATAACACACGGGATGAATTTTTTGAATTTCCGGTGGAATTCGAAAAAAATTGAAAAATCGAAGAACTGAATTATTTTAATGATTTAAATAATTGTCTATTCAATTTTATCGATAATGTTATATATTATGTATAATATAATGTTATGTATTATTAGTATATATTGTCCGTCGATTTGATCGGTAAAATTCTAAAAAAACAGGTCGGAAAGATAAATTTTTTATTTTGGAATTCCCAAATGATTTTAAAAAATCGAAAACGCGAATTATTTGAATGATTTATCTGATAATTGATCGATTTAATTGATTATATAATTATTCATCAATTTGATTGATCAATTGAAATTTTAATTCGATTATCGATGGATTCTATCGATTTATCAATCCAATTGCGAAAAAATCCACCGGAAAGAAAAATTTTTGATTTTTAAATAATTGAAATTCCAAACTGAATAACACACAGTCAATTAAAATAGCCGATCATAATTTTTAGACAATAAAAAGTGAACACGTGTAGGGAACTCCGAAAAATGCCAAAGTACTTGAAAATCCAGAGAGCAAACATAAATCCATTAAAAAAGCCATTCAACATCTCCAATGATGACGAGTGAGGAGAGGATCTCTGGTTTATGCCCAAGATAAAGAAAGCAGAGGATTACGTAAGGCCCCATGAGCTGCTAATATGCTAATGACTCCATCGATATCCCGGAGTGAGAGTTTATAGTTTTTGTCCAGACATGCGGGTGGCAAAGGGTAATTCATCTAAAAAGTAAATTCTGCAAAATTTTAAAAATCCCTCGAGGTAGGTGGGCCCAGATCAATGGACCCATTCCACAAAGAATCATCCAGCAAATATAATTATTATGAAATCAATTATGAAATCATTGAAATTGAAGAATAAATTTTGATGAACTCTGGAACAATCGACGTTTAAATATCAATCCAGTTTAAATTATATGAATAATTAAATAGAATAATAATTATTGTGGCAATCTAATAATTATTGAATGAATAATTGAGACGTGTGGAAATGGGAAATTATAATTTAATGGATTATATTAAAATCGGTATAGGTATGTCTCGAACTTGTTAACCCGCTCCGTCCATCCGAGAATTCCGTAATCTTGCGTAATATCATTGGTGGCCTGTTGTAGCGTCTGTCTACCTTACTGCAGCGTTAAATGTCACCATTCAACAAGGCTTATGTATCCAACCACTACGATAAGTTCGTATCCTTTAGAGGATTCATCTCCAGCAACACTCGCTCATTCAGTAACGAGACTGATCGAAATAAACACCAGTCAGAAGTTCAAATTCCCCAGAACATCCACTGACAGGCAAAAAATTCCATTTGATAAATCTCATAAATTAATTCACCCAGTGGGTAGGAAAATTTGCATTAGAATGTGTTGCTGTGTGGATTTCATCGGGTCTTAATCAATTTAATTGGCGGAAGCTATAATTTTTATCGATTCATCAGCGAACTGATAAGCGAACTGGGATCCTTATTTTTTTCGGGGACAGTTTTTGGGGTGTATCTCGGAATTGAAGGCGAATACCGATTTTTTTGGTTCTACATTTTTCGTAGAGGAAGATGAGAGCTGCAAAAAAGGTGCTGATGAAAATATCACTATCTCCTTTCAGTTTCACGATAATCCCTAAAAACGACATTGAAAAAATTTAATGATTGGAGATAACGACTTGGTAGGGGATTTTATAGATTCAGATGAGCAATAGCATCGGTAAAAATCCAAAGGTCTCTCTGAATATTACACAACCCCCTGAAAACCTCCTCAGCATCCACTCCGGAAGCTGCACGTCCAGGTCCACTGCCTTCTCAATTACAGCTTCACCTCATCCCAACTCGCTTCTCAACCATTGTTTCAACTAGGCCAATTTCATGCACGCAATCCCCTCCTCTGTATCCCAGAAAAAAATTCCCCAATCCAAGTGAATAAGGTTGATGCGTACTTTGTATCAGTTGTCCCCCTGCCGATCCAACAGCTCTCATCCAAAATTTTTACCGATTACTGCCCTTTTCCAAGAGATGACTACCCAATTGAATATACGAATCATCATGTATGCACTCAAAAGTGTTTTTTTTTAAAACACTAACACTTGGCTAAACAAAATTATCCAATAAATAAGACAGTGGCCATGGAAGTTGGAATCCCCTAAGGAGTGTGTAACAATTAATTTGTATTCGATAAATAAAATCGACAACAATATATTCAAGACATTGATTCAGTTTTTCCATTCTGATATTCTGATTTCTACAAAAGTTGATTAAAAAAAATTGATAAAAAAAACGATATTGTTTAAGTGTTATATCTATTTTTTATAATAATAATGTTGATTATAATAATGATATTGAAGAAATAATAATTTTATGAAGATTTATTATATTTTATAATGATGAGAGGGAAAAGGGTGACGTTTTTTTTTTTGTAATTTTCCCCATAAATTCCGAGATTTTTACCTCGAATATTCCCCCAGCAGTGGCATCTCCAAATGGCAAGGTCACCAATCGCTTCGGTATGGTGAAAAATTACGTAACATGAAACTTTCCTCGTGGCTTCGCCGATGTGCCCGCTGGGCTCTTCTCTGCGGTAAGAGAGAGAATTCACCGTAAAATTCAAATGTCACAGTGCGCAAGGACGTAAACGTGATTTGCCTTCTGCCTGAATAAATAAGAGACCGAGAGAGAGAAAAATAATTTTCAGGAATAAGAAGAAATAAAAAAGTTGCACCCCCAACGGATGGTATTAATCTCACCGTCTGGTGAATCGATAGACGTGTCGTCAATCAATTGATCAATTATGTCATGCCCACCTTGGTGGTGTTCTAGTGACTCTACGGTATCTCTGATATGTCAGAGGAAAGGAGGACCTGGTGATGGTTTACTCGGCTTTTAAACTTTCTAAGGCGCGTCAAACCGATACTCTTTCCCGGGTCAGGGGTCGACGAGAATCCCTCCGCCAATTGGAGCCCTCACCCAACGTCGACAATTCCCTATTTCGACATTTGTCGAGGTGAAATGAGACTTTTTCAGGAATCTCCAGTGGTGGATTTTTGCTGAACCGATCGCAGACAGCCTTATCCGCTGATTTTTTGAAGAACCATCTTTTTTGTTCATCATTTTTCATTTTTCACGAGGCAGTGTATTCTGGAATTAAAATGATAATATAATAGAGTGCGATTTATTTGCGTGTTGCATCTATTTTTGCCGGTCATTGCGATGGGTAATTAATGAAAAATCGACGAAGAACTTCTTGGAAATCACCGGAAAATTATATTTCTCGTCGCAGGATTAAGCCCGGAGTAAAATATTTACAATGAACGTTTTGCAGTTTCAATAAATATTATATTCCAGTCGATTTCTACTCTAGATTAGAATCGGGGTAATTCAGCGCGGTTTGAGCCTTACCGATTTTTCAAAATATCTCCGTACTGATGGGGGATACAGAAATTTTTATTGATACCATTTTTGTAGCTCTAATAATTCGCTATAAAAAATGTTTCAACTAAGAAATCATTATCTAGCGTCGATTCCAAGGTATCGGCTAAAAACTGACCTCGAAAAAATACTGTTATTCTAATTGACTTGAATTTTTATTCCAGAATGTCTAATTTTCCCCTCAAGAGTTGAAATCCTTGATTTATCTGTATGTCAATCCATAATCGCACAGATCTCAATAATTATTTCAATGAATTATTTTAAATTATCATGGAAAAACCATGAATCAGCCAAATAACGAGTCCCCACTTCGGTAAGCAGAATTAGCCATCCTGTCCCCACAAAAAGCCATTAATAATTCTAATACAATTACATCCTAATTACTCTTCGAATTTGTTTAATTAATTATTGATATCCATCCAATTATGGCTGACGCTCCCAAAACTGAAAAAAAAACCCCAAACGATTGAAATTTGATAATAATTTGATAAGATCGGATCGGATGCAAAAGGGAATGCACATGATTTATCATGAGTTGATATTTTTAAGTGAAAAATAAATAAAATGGATATAAGAGGGTGTCCCCACACCAAGAGGAATCGACAACGTCATGCCCATAATCCCCATCGGTTGGCAGATGCACCTGGGATGAGTACATCTCGTAATCTCTTCACCTCATCCTAATGGTGGGGATTATGCATTTTCCGAGTATATAAAGCTAACGATTGCCTGGACTCCTCCGTACAGTGATGGTATCCCGACATATTTTATCCCAGTGAAAAATAATAATAATAAAATCACAAATTGTTGTTCTGTATACGTTGAATAAACGCAAGGTGTAATCATGGATAAAACGGTGGGTCTTATGAATTTCGACTCTGGGAAAGAGAGAATATAAAATATTAATAAAATCACTCGGATGGTCGTCCTTCGGGCCACCTTTTGAGAAGGTCCCTTCGGTGGTCATCATCAAAAAACCCATTTTTTTTTTGCGCAATGGTGAAAGTGAAGACGCCTTATTTCATCTTCCTCGTATTTTAAAACATTAAATTTCATGGCTTACGCCCATCGATTCGGAAATTATCATAATTTCAGTGATTCACTCGTACGTTTTACGATATACAGGTCATATCCGTCTATTCGAAAATATTATCTTCGAAATATATTTCCCAGGGATTTGAACATCCGTAGAATTTTTTTTTTCTTCTTTTTGCAGAATCCGTGGAAATCGGATTGATATGATGGATAAATATATTTTATATCTGCACAGGTATAAATATTATTATCTGAAAATATCATTTCCGGAATATATTTAACGCGCATCAAGGAATTATTTATTTATATTTATGCACTTTAAAACAGGAGAATAATATTTATTGTAGAATTATTATTATTCCTGATATAATGGTGGATATATTAATATATTAGTTGTTCAATCCATTGTGATAAATAATCAATCATTATAGATTTTCATTTCATTTTTGATATCGTGAATATAAATATTTTCTAATGATAATAATTCATTGATATATAAAATATTAATATATCATGAAATATATCATATCCACAAATGAAATGGTACGAATTCTATCACTTATTCATTTTTTGAATGAACGGAAAAAAATGAAGAACAATTAAAAATCTGCAAAAAATATTAAACAATAGTATGGAAAAATCGAATTCTCGATTTTTTTTTACTGAATCATTTTTCCACAGATCATTTAATAAATTAATTAGGGTGATATTCTCTTATATTTTCTGATGAGATTTTAAATATTCCAGATATTTGTTGTTCTGGCAGTATTGGCTGCAGCATGTGCAGCTCCTCAGGGAAATCCAAACCAAGACATAACGATTGTCAAGGCTGAGGAGAATAACAGTATTGGAGTTGGTGGTTATCACTTCAGTTATGAGCAGAGTGATGGCCAAAAGAGGGAGGAAACCGCGGAATTGAAGAATGAGGGAACTGAAAATGAGGCCATGTCTGTTACCGGAAGTTTTGAATACAGAGGACCCGATGGCAAGACCTACAGAGTCGATTATACTGCAGATGAAAATGGATTCCATCCAACCATCACACTGATTTAAATCAAGTCCTGATTAACGCGATCGTGGGGCAATCGTTGGACAATGCCATTCGTCCCTTCAGGATAAATCTCTCCATTTATTTTGTATCTGTTTTTTTTTTCAATGGATAATTGATACACACTCTGTTGAATGCATTAAAAAAAATTGACTATTTATCCCTTTGTTTTATTTTGAATAAATTGTTGATTGAAAATGACAATGATTGAGTGATTGACGGTGAATTCATTAACGATCGGCGAATTAATTAAGAAATACTCAATATTTCTTGATTGAATTTTTCATTTGGATAATTTTGTTAAGAATAATTTCAGTATGATCGGTTAATTCAAACCTTGATTGTGAGATTGTTTTATTTTTTGGAATTATTCGGAGTCGGAGGAATTCGTTGATGAGAATATTTATCGTTGATGAATGGTTTGGAAACTTCTGACGAATGACGATTTATTATGTAAAACTCTTGAGAATCCGATGAAAGATATCAAGAACATTTAATACCGATGGTACTATTTTTTTTTCGTTAATACAGTTTCTCCTGACTATTCCCGAGCTCTTGAAAATGATGTCTCTATCTTCCTCCACGATTGGATAATTCTCTCGCCTCGGGCCCAAGTGTCTTCTCCATTCTATCATTACATCATTGTCCCTGAAATATTTTTCCAACTGTCATTAGGCAAGAGTAAAAATTTGATTTTCCATGGAAAATTGCCCGCAGCAATTGACCAATCAAGAATAGCATGGCGAAATCGATAAAAACCGGGGAAAACATCAGGGGATGACTAATTAATTTTCACTCTTAAGGTATACTCTGGTGATATTTAGAAAAAAGTAAGAAACAATTCAGTGGATTTTTTCACTCTTTCTGAGTGGTCGTAAATCTAGTATTTATTAACGCTTGTCAAATCTGAACTTTGTTAATTCCTTATTCTGGACAGTACTTGCATTCTCTCATCTCCACTCACATTACCCCCACCGATATTTACCTCTCACCTCGTCAATTAATGAAACCATGTACTAAAGATATAAAAGAACGGTGCAAATACGTAAATCGAGGAATACTCATTGTCGTCATCCCTCATTACAAGATACTAATGGAAAATACCGAAGAACGTGAAAATAACATCGACGATATTATGAGCTTCAAGTCATCAATATATCTACGATATATCAATTGATATTTCAATTGATATATTTATATGTCAATATATTTTACATGTCCTTGCATCTCCGTCATTTTATCCATCAATATAAATAATAAAAAATATACAATAATAAATCGTGAGTGGTTTATTTCATTTACCTGTAAATAATTGTAATTTCAATTACGAAATGATGGACCTAAAATGATTAGTGTGATTATTACTCTTGGGAATTATTCCGATTTTATCGTTAGGATATATTGATATAACTTTCGTTGTCACTCTAATTTTCAGTTGAATGGTTTCGTGTGATAAAAATGATTTAATATGAGTACATTGTAATTATTATAATATTTTTAGGAGTGATGAATATTAATAAAGATGGTTGAGAGAAGAAAAGGATTTATAATTTTTTATAATTTCAAATGGAACTTCGGCAAAATAATAGAAGTGAATGAATCCTTATGGATTTAAGGATCGAATCGCTGAGAATCAAAATGGAATAGGATCTGGAAACAAAAAGATAGATACAAGGTACGTCAATATTTATTTTTCGAGTTCCTCACAACGAAAGAATACAAAAGCCGTATAAAAAGATTAGTAGAAAAATCTTAGACCTCTATATAGTCATATAGAACGTACCGACGATACAACACGTGTACATAATCTGCGATAAATACTGTTACGTATATATGGTAATTAATCATACGATTTTAATATATACAATAATTGCTCGTAATATGGCAATTTTCATCATGAATGATAAAAACAATGAAAAAGATATAGAAATGATAATCGGCTGTTGTCGTAATCGAGGAAGTCTTGGGCTAAAAAAAAATTTCCTAGTTAATTGTTTTTAGTTTGTAATGCACTCGCGCGTTGGGGTAATCGTCTACCAAAAATTTCATCAGTTATTGCTTGAGTGCAGGTATTATTTATGCGAGGGCTGATGAAATTCCGCCCCAGGCGCGTATCAAATTGAGAGTTTGGTTTAATTTTGAACACCACTCTAGACGCTCCTCTTTAGTATCCGCCGAAATTAGGTGTCTGAAAGTAAATTGATACAATAATTAAATTTTTTTTTTCACCCAGTGATGGATCATGTAGTGGGTTAGTACATAAGTTATTATGAGTATTATTCAATTTGGTCATCAACTGTCGAGATGGATTAGATAATAGGAATAAAGTGAATGCCTTTGTTTATTCATTTTTTAAATAGGTAATCATCACGTGAGATCTTTGGAAATTCATTTGGACATCATTATTATAATTATTATTTTAATTTCCTTCTAAAAAAAAATGGTTAATCAATTTTTTTTCAATTTCTAAAAAGATTTTTAAACACTATAAATTGTTTGTTTGAATATAACAGAAATAATTGAAATATCAGTAATTCATTATTATTGTGTACTGCCATATTTTTATTATTGGCAGGTCTAGAATAATATTTCAATGTTGAACTTGGAAATAGTAAATAAAAAAATTTACCTGATGGTGGTTGACGCTCCACTTCTAACGAGCGTGAGGCTCTCGACATCTCCAGACTGGGCTTCCCTGACAGTCTCTAACAGGAAGGTATGGGGCCTGGCACAGATATCTCTGGACACGACTCCAACATTTCCAGTGGAGACACCTTGGAGTTCCAGACTCCCAATAGGTGTTTTCTTCCTCTCATCATCGGGATACTTCCAGTAGCTCAATGTATCGCCCTTGAGGAGACACCACCTTCTGTGCCAAGCGCCAAAACCCGAGACATCCTCAAACATCGTGAGAAATCCCCTGTGCTCCACCCCCACTGACAACTCGCACCCCACGTGCATCTGCAGCTTACCCTCGAGTACTGAATTCCTTGGTACTTTGTTCAGGGTAAATTGCTGCCTGCTCACTTCCTTCAGGGAAAACACGACGTATCCAGTGAGAATGAAAGCAGGTGATCTCACAGCATTTGGTCCAGCTGGAGACTGCACCGATGGCATCACAAGTCTGCTCTCCTGCTTCAGGAATTTCTTCGGAGTCTTCCCAGCCTTCTTGGCACTACTCCCACCGCAGTGACCCCCATGGATGTGATACTTCACCTCGTGGGGCAAAATCTCCGCCCTCGTCTCCAACGAATACACCTCTACATTTATCTTGAAGTCACTGTAAAGATCCTCGAGTTTTAGAGTCGATGGGAACCTGATGCACGAATCTCCAGGCTCTGCCTGCACCACCTGCGTAGCAATAACAGTGTCCAGGTGTTTGATGAGACAGAGAAAGTGCAAACGTATATCTACATCCAAATTTCTTATCTCATCTTTCTTGAGGGGAAGTGTTATCGCGGAAATAGTCAGTGATCCACTCTCCTGGACCTCTGAAGCTCCTGGTATGCTGGGCCGAAGTGTCCCCTCGACTTTGAGCCTCTGTATCTCATTGTGGGCAGCCTGTCTGCGATGTGTTGCCACCAGAAGCAGTCTCTCTCCCTCGACCTGCTCCCTGGATCCACTGAACTCGACAGTTGCGGTGCAGAGATTCAGAGCCTGACTGGACTGTCCAATAATTGTATTCTGCTTGCACACCTCGTCCTTGAGTCGTTTGAGCTTCTCCTGGACAAGCACAGCCTCCTGGTCATTGTAAACCCGATGATCCGACTCCTGATGGTCCACCACCCTGGATACTGTTCTGACAGGTGTCTTCGGTGTTTGTGATTGCTGCCTCCTGTAGAAGCTGACAGAGTGCATGAGAGGCAGTTTGGCATCCCCCTCAACGACATAAAGATCATTCCTGCGTTTAGGGGATGGTGTGACCTTGAGTGGTGACCTCAGGGCCGGCCCTGTGGTATACTTGAAGCTCGTGGACGTCATCGAGGGACTTCCACCAACGCGATTCTGTTTAGGGGGCGTTGGGCCTGGATTTGAGTCGTGGAGGGCCAGGCATTCGTCTAGGTACTCGTCCATCTCCTCGAGAACAGATATATCGGATGTCGAGGAGTCAGGGGAGATGGTTCTCTTCTTCGGGGCATTCTGGGTAACAGCTCTGAGAATACTTGTCTCGAAACTGGTATTTCCCTCGTACGTCGAGTCCTCGTCGGAGGACTCGTCCAGGGTGGCGGTTTCTGGTTCTGTTGTACCGAGGGTGTACTCTGTGTCTGTAGTCTCAGTCTCGGAGGACTCCAGATTGGTCAGGTCAGGGTAGAGGTGGCCAGGCTTCGGCGGTGATACTTTAATTCGTTTGACGTTTATAAAAATGGGTTTTGGGAGCGCTGGGGGTGATGGAGGCGACGACGGCTGACGTTTTGATGAAGGTTGACGAGAGGACAAGGGGGTCGTCTTCGGGGAGGGCAAGGGCGGTGCCGGGGGAACGTGATCCTGGGGAGAATAAATAATAATGGAATTACTATCTGTTAAGTGAGATTGATAATTAGATTTGGGGTGAAAGGACTGATTTGATTGAATGAAAATGAGTTTAGAAAATAATACCGTTGAAGCGTGGTTTACCGTGGCCGGAGTGGGTTTCACAGGGCAAACCGGTGAGTTCTTCGGCGATGTATTAGACTCGGAATTTTTACGAATGCAGGAACCAGCTGCCGCCTGAGCCACTTCCTTATTCTGATTGAAACGTGATCGCAGCATCTCCAACTCTCTCTTTCTCTCTGCCTGACTGTCTCGTAGGATGTCGTTCTCCAGCTCTTGTTTAGGTAGACCTTGCTCGAAAATATGACGATTTGCAAATGCAATTTTTCCAGCGCCTGTACGATTCGATTGATCTGAAACAGCTGAAATAAAAATTTCATTGTGTAAATAATTTTCTGCATTATCATTCCATATTTCCGGTTCGTGAGGACTATTTAGGTTGAATTTATTATTGGTTGGAAAAGAATTATTTCTTTTTGTTTGGAATATTCGTAGTATGAAATCATTTAAATAATTGTAAAGAATTTATTAGTTGAATTATTATTGTTTTAGTCGTACCTGAATTGACATTAGATGATGATTTTTCCTTCTCCATGAGTTTCTTGGCAGGAACAGAGAGTGTCAGCGGTGCCTTAGGAATAAGTGCCTCTCCCTTGTTCTTCTCGAAGAGTGCCATCCTCTCGGAGAGCGTCATCTCCGCGGGGTCCTTGACTTTGATAGCTAAACTTTTCGATTCAAATAACGAAGCTTTGCTAAGAACTGAACCTGGTGACTGTACCGTACTTTTAGGGGAACCATTGTAACCACCAAACCTGCTTCTCCCGTTGGCGACGCCCTTGGCCTCTGGAGTTCTCGTCGATGGCGATCCACTGGTCTTCGTCGAGGGCGAAGCTTTCTGTCCACCGTTCGTACCCGCAGTCTTTCTCGATTGAACCTCTCGTTTTGGAGACCCTTCCTTTTCCTGGGAACAAGCGTTGTAGTCATACACTAGGCGAGAATTGCTTTTTGTACGGGTATAGCCTTGAGCCTCCTGCAAAAGTTTTTTTCCAACATTTCTTATTTACTTCTGAGGCTTTTCTTCTTCTTGTTTTATTCCTCTGTGAAAGGCAATTAGTGGGCAATGGGGCCAATTTATTTAACTTCAAACAGTTTAATTTAATTATTTAATTTGTTTTAAATAGGTTTTTTTATGAAAATTGATTCGCTGTGAAGCTTCAATTCTCATTTTGGACGCTGTTCTCAAATTAAACGCGAGATCATAAATTTTCTGTGCAGTAATCACATGAAAATCAATAAATTATCCTCGAAGACACTGAGAAATCTCATTATTTATTCAATTTCTAATGAAAAATCGATTTAATAAGATGCTGATGACTTTTTGATGATCCATCGAGCTCCAACTGTTTCCCATTTATTTTTCGCAATTATCTGAGAAGTGAGTGATAAATGAATGGTCTCGTGTCGTTATCCTCCACAATGACTCATTCTCGAGATAATTTCATAATCGAAGGGATGAGATAAACAATTCTATGAGAGGAAAAAATCTCTTAACGACTGAGTTAATGCCACAAGGAATCTACAATTATTTTGTAATTTATTTGTTTAGAGTTGATAATTGGGGATGAATGCGAGAGGATAATAGTGATAATTACCAAATTCTCTAAGACAGTCTTGTCCCATTTAATTTGCCTAGTGAGACTGTCGGTTTTTCGTGTATTGGCGTTGCTCTTCCATTTGCCATAGCCACTGGTGCTGGGTTGAGGATCTCCTGCAGCTTTTACCTGTTCATTCATCTTCGCTTGGATTTTCTCAGCTTTGCTCTCACCTTTCTTCACTAGCGTTGGATGAGACAAGTCATCTTCCCAATTGTTTATCTCTGATGCTAGGGCTGCCAGTCTGTCCAACCTAGCTCCACGCTTTGGATGCTTTGACTCTGATGAATCATCCTCTGCTGAAAATTTTTCCTCTGTTCGGTGAATCGGCGAACTCAATTCACGATTATCTAGAATAATGAGAGATCATTATGAGATAACTTTGTTTAACAAAATTTAATTTAACAAAATTGGCAGCCTCTGGGAATTTAATTTACCTGAATACAATTTTCCTAATCTCTGAAGCTTCGATTTCACATTTTTAGGGTGATTACTCTCATTTTCTTTATCAGGAGTGATATCACGTTTGTTTCTCTCCTCAGAGACATTTCGAACTGTCTGAATAACATTTACTGAAAACTCTGAAGATTCTGAAGATTCTCTTGTCCGTTCTTCATTAACTTTCTTCATTTCTGAAATTTCTGGAAAATAACAACAGTTACACCGAGAATCGAGTGAAAATAATGAAAAATCAATGCAAAAAACTGTGAAAATATATTTTTAAATAAATTACTCACTCGTTGCTTGTAAAGCACTGATTGCATTGGCGTCCTTCAAGGGACTTCTCCGGGGCTGAATATTGTGCCCTGCATTCGATAATTTCGTGTCCAACTTTTCTCTCCTCGCCTTCGCACGTTCCAACATCCGCTAATAATCAAAATACAAAATAAAAAATTATTTGAAAAATCAATCCCAGGAATTGACAAAAAACTTTCTTAAAGAATTATTCCAAAAATTTCTTCCAATAATTTTCAGTCTTCCCCCATGTCCATGCACCTCCTAAAAACTCCATGAAACCCAAAACCCTTGGAAAATAAAAAGGATTTTCCTCATCCCCTCCCCCAAATTCCACAATTGTCTTTCAAATCCGCCAATAATGCGATGCAAATCCTAATACCCTAATGTAGCTTATAACAATCCCCTGAAAATTAAATAAACCAAACAATTCTCAATTTTCCATTGATTACAATGTCAGTAAATCGGAGCAGAACCCACGCCTCCTGAATAATCCCTCCAAATCCCCCACAAACGTCAAAAATAAATAATTAAAAAAATTGAAAACAACTGCGTCGTACCTGTGTGAAAGGATCCATGTCAAAAAAATGAGCAAAAGTCACGATAAATCCTCACTCCTGCAGTTTTCCTCGTCCTCTGGACTCGAATTCCTCAGGAAAGCGTCGAGTAATCAGGGGGAAAAGCCTCCAAAACTCCAAAAAAACCGTTGGCGAAATGACTCAGTGCTCGTTTGAACGACAACTGACTGGCACAACCCGAATTGTCACCGTTGACGACCGTTAACATTCAAATGCAACTACAATGTCGGTCCAACGCCAAAAGATTATCCCCAGGACCACTCGATCCTATCTCCAACACCTCACCGATTAATCCCATATAAACCACCTCCGAGTCCCATCAATCCCAACCCAACGACTTAGACAGGTTTTTGAAATTTCTTTTAAATGACAGGCCGCGGAAAAACGCGGAATTTTCGGTGTTTTTTAAACGTGAAAAACCAAGCGTCCGCGAGTGGCGTATGCTGTAAACAGCGTCTTCCGATGAAACACGAGTGCATGGGGAAGGGAATTCGGGTATTTCCGTGGGGAACGATCACGCCTCCTGTATATAATATATTATATTATGTAAAAATATGAGGGGGCGGGGTTAATGACATGTGGTTGTTTAAATTACTGGAGCAGTTCTATATTTTTTTAAATATTCTCTTGATATATAAAAAATGAAGATGAAATAAAAATATTATTATTATTGTTTATGTAAATTTAATTAATTAACAACAAATTATTTGTTCGGCAATTGCATGTACTGATCAATCGGAGAATTGTTGTAATAATGTGTAGGCTGAGTACGACTGCTTGAGAAGCTGCAAAAATTTGAGATTAAAAAACAATTAAATTGTCGGGAAAATATTAATTAATCTATAATTTTCTTATTAAAGAAACATTACATATATGGCAAAGTCAAAATCTTTTGATATTAAAAAAAGTTTTATGTAAAAAAACTAGTCCGAAACTACAGTCCGAATTATCGAACTCATAATTAATTAATTAATTAATTATTATTAATTTATTTAATTAGGTGTAACAAGTTTTAGAGAATTTTAATAGAAATTTCGTGGTTTTTGCAAAAGATTAGACAAGTTTTTTGGGGTGATGTAATAATTGTAAACGTACGTTACGAAAAGAGCTCAATGAAAGAGTGATGATGTGTCCACTCATGAAGATGACCGGTTTCAGGGTCCTAGCCATCATAAGGATGAGATACTTCTGCGCACGATTCGTCAATAAGTACCACTTTGTACTATAAATATTAACCGTCAGACTTTGACACTGAAATAATAAAAATGAATAATCCAATTTTTACCAACGGACATCGAAATACCTCAATCGTAACTTGATTTCCAAATGCGCAGAGCATGAAGATCTGCAGCAGCATTGAGGAAACGTACATCAAGAGAGACATGAACTGGGGAGAAAATAATGGAACTTGCGATATCATGAAGACACTCACGCATATTATTATCGAACTCGCTGAGTACTGCACGAAAATTATGGGATTGAAGATGGAATTTACCCTGTCTGACATCCTAATGAAGACAATACACTCACATTGAATATTAAAAAATTAATAAAAGCAATTATATAATATGATATAATAAATTATATCAGATAATATAATGATTACACTATAGAATAAATTATACAATGAACAGTTCAATTACAAAACAATTATATAATCAAACATTGCATGCATTATCTATAAACAATATATTCCATTATTATAATAATTACTCAAGAATCGCCTGATGAAAATCCACACAATTGATAATTTGTCTCTCATAAATCAGAACAGCACCTGCACCTGATAATTCCAGAGTTTTTTCTTCGAATTCATCAATAGTCCTGCGGAGCCTGCACTTGAGAATATTAAACTGGGCGCATATCTGCATGAAGAATCCAGGTACAACGGTATCAAAACCAATATTCATATTGGCGCCAGCAAAAAGACTGAACACCTGAAGGCAGAATGTGAACCAATAAACGAGGGGCTGTGAATAATCATAAGGTACCCAGGCTTTGTACGGTAGAACGCCAAAAGGTATTCCTTGAAAAAACGTGAGGATGCTGATGAGCCACGCAAAGACAGCAAGATGTCCAGCATAAAGAAGTGTGTAAAATCTGGAGAATGAAAAATATACAATCTGATAAAAATTCGATTAAATTCATATAATCATGCAGGTTTACCTGATCTGCTGATTGAAATTCTCCTGGACCTTTTGCTCCTGGTCACCCATCGGTCCATGGGGATAATATTCCAGGGCATTGAGCAGCCCAACTATATCTGATCTTCTTGACAGCATGACAATCGCCTTGACGCAGATACTGATCATTGACAGCAGCATGAAGCAATTGTTCGAGAAGTCCTGGACATCCTCAACTTCTTCGGTGACGAGACTGAGAGATTCCGACAGTGTGAACCAGTGGATGATGATGATCATCAGGGTTGTGTACCCTCCGTAGATGATTGTCTTTATTTCTCGGGATTTCCACACCAGCGGAGGCCAAAGTCCAACACACTGAAGTGCCAGGAAACTCTCTTGTAGCAGCACCATGACGTTTAGACAACTGGACTGGGGTGAAGTCTCCAGGAAGTCTGCGGATGTCATTCAGTATTCAATAACTCATTATGTCATCATCACCGGGTGGTCGTGTTCCCTGGCGATGTCTTTTGTTCACTGCTCCTGGTTTTGCGTTCGATATTTTCTATTGTCAACTAGAAGAATAGGATTTTACGAATTCAGGGGATGCTACCGGGTAGATCTTCTTCTTGGGGTTGGAATACTTCCGGTGGAACGGGGAGACTGTTCTTTTCGCCATTCTTTTTGGCGAATTGTCGATCGTCTTGTCCATTGTCTTCCTCTTCCCATTATTCCGCCGTCGAGGGTATACAGGGTATTGCGACATTTTTTATCGACGATTTCCTGGATTATAGGCTCTGGTGGGGAAGTGATACGTGTTATTTCGCAGTTGCCAATTGTCTGGCATCAGGAGAGCCCGACGGAGAAGCTGTCTCACTTTGTGTCTCATTTCGTAATATTAATCCTTTGAACTATGCACTGAATTTTTTCTTTAATATTATTAAAAATATCAATTACAATTAATCAATAAATCTTCATCAATTTCTCGTTCGGTTAAATTTCTATTTCATCCCTAATAATTGAATAGAAACTTTTAGTGACAACCGGAGTGAAATTTCAAATGCTGACATTTCTTAGTCATCTCTTGAAAAAATCTGAAATTTCAAATTGAAATAATTATTTTATTATGAATATCATCAGGATATCGAGATTATTAATCGGAGACCTGTGAGAGTTTAAATTACATGAATTATCTTTATTATTCTGGAAGATTAATTAATTTTGGAAAATATAAGGTATGAACCGGTGATTTGAATGAGAATTATTTCAACAGGGTGACAACAACTTAAATATTTAATAACAAGTTCTTTACAGTCATTATGATCAATAATTCGTGATCCTAATAATATACTAATGAAGATAATATCACTATTTGTGTTTCCATAGGATTGAATTCCATTGAATTCACGTGTCCTTTATTGGAGACTGGAGATGTCATTGATTGGAATTCCGCTGGAGCATCGTGTAAGCAGTGTAAGACCGTTTCAAGAGCTGAAAGAAATTAATCAGAGCGTGAAAATAATTGAGGAGTCACCAACGTACAGTGCTGAAAGAGTCCCGAGAGAGGACAATTATATGACCACTCGTGAAAATTACTGGTCGCAGTGTACGCAGCATCATGAAGATTAAATATCTCTTCGCATTATTTGGTAACATGTACCAATTCATGTTGAAAATATCCATGGATACATTTTCACACTGAAAAACAATTCCCAATTGCAGTAAACAATCATCAGTATTAAGGGCCGGATGGAGTATCTCGGAAAATAATTTACTCCAAAATTAGGATTCCTAATTACTCCGCCAATTAATTTTTTTTTCCTATAATTGTTAGCTTGCGTTCTAGTCGTTGACAACCGCTAGAACGCTAGCTAACAATTATTTAAAAAAAACGATTAATTGCCAGAGTAATTAGGAATCCCAATTTTGGAGTAAATTATCTTTTCCAGATAATCCAACCGGTCCTTAACTAATAACTTCAGTTTTGTTAAAAATCTACGAAAACTTTGAATTTTAGATTTAGATATTAATTTAGGAAATTTTGCGGGGGTAATTAATTTTTTCAATATTCTGGTGATTATTCATTTTCAAGTCCATTTGGCATTATCGAGAATTCAAGTGTTCATTGAAAAATTAATTATCACTCAGCAAGAAAATCCCAATTTCCTTGAATTTTCTACATATTTTTCAACATTGTAATATCCAAGACTGTAAATTGCATAATTAATCATGAATAATTAATAGATTAATAATTGATTCCTAATTATGAAATTTACTATTCCCTCACCGATGGCATGAGTGAATTGTAAATAAAATCTCGTACACGACAGTGTGATTAATCATTAATAGTATTTTTCACGCCTAGGACGGAAAAAGGGAATCTGACGAATGCGACTTTATAGTCCGAGTCGGAGACGAGGATTATAACGCGCATGAGTCAGAATTACTTTTTTCGCCGTGGTTATGATGCTATTTTATGCGCAATGACATAAATAATGATTAATTGATTATGATAATTTGTGTGATAATTTGATGAATCTAAAATCTCACTTCGATCCTCGCTTCATCAGCAACGACGCAAAGTGAGCTAATCTGTACGAGCATGCATATAAAGTACAAAGAGAAGAATAAAGCCCTCGTAGACAGAAGTGGCACAGTAGACAGCATAAAGATGCAGAAGCAAATGACAATAGTACTCAACAAGTACTGAACGAAGAATATGGTATTGTAGAGGACATTGATCTCCTTGGAGAGTCTAGAATCACTCAAAATAAATTAGATCCACCTGAAGCAAGACAATAAAAAATGTGCGACATACTTAAAAATCTCTCGATGATATCGAACGCAGTAATTCATTGGATCCCCATTCGATATATTCGATATATTCGATATATTCGATATATTCGATATATTATCTCTCGATATTCCTACTACATCAACCGCTTTCCTCAATCGATCCCTCAAAATATTAAACTGAGCGCATATGAGACCGAACAGTCCTATGAGAGTTGTATCGAATGCAATGACAATATTCGCCAAATAAATGACAACAATTAATTGTAAACAAAATGTAAACCAGTACAGGAGAGGTGTAGAGTAGTCATAGGGTATCCAAGCTTTATACGGCAAATCTCCGTAGGGAATTCCTTGAAAAAATACGGAGACTGTCATGATGGTCACCGAGACTTCCCCAATTGTTCCGAATGTTCGGGAGATTAATCTGAATATTAAACGTGTACATTTTAATGAGTTCTGGTTTGATCAGCTATTACAATGAAGATGAGGACGATGACGACGATGACGACTGACCTGATGCGACCATTGAAATTCTCCCTGATCTTCATCTCGTCGGTGTTAATCGGCCTGTGAGGATGATCTTCAAGTTTGGAGATCAATGACTCGATGCTCCCCTTCTTCGAGACCATCATGTTCACCTTGAAACAAACACCTATTGTTGTTAGCAGCATGAAGGAACTGTCTGATAAATCTTCGATAGTCTCGACAATGGTGAACAAACTCATTGTTTCAGTTATGGCGAACCAATACAGCGCACTGATGACGAATATCGTGTAGAGCCTGTAGACTCTCGTCCTCCAGGAGTTCAACGGCCAGTCAACAGGTCTCCATAAGCCGATGTAATGAAGATGCTGAAGATTTTCATGAAGTAATACCATCGTCTGGAGTGACACCTCAATATCCGAGGCTGATGACTTGTCAGTGGTGAACCCTATAAATTTTATTCAATTATTCAATTAAATTAATAATTATTACTCTTCGAGATATGAAAGAAAAATATTACCCTTGTAATATATTTTGTTGTATTATTTTTATGGTAACTCTTGTGGGTATCGATTTCATCTACTGCAATATGTACTTTCAATTGTCATCAGACATTTCTGCAAGTGCTTCCAGCGTTGAACTCTTTTTATTGAAGCAATAAAGACTGCAGACCTAGGACTAGTCTTAGGACTGTAACCATGATCGAGGGGTCCGCATGTCTAGTTCATAGAAAATTCTACTACCATTATCTCATTATCCCCAGATGTCAGTACTCCATACGCAGATCCACTTGGAAAAGACATTTGTCATCCCTTCTTCCAGGTAGATAATGCATTATTAATCTCCCTCGACTTTTATCGACTCTCATTCTGTTGTCATTTAGTTGACATGTCGACGGGATGGAAATCGCCGAGGGTTGTAGAGCTCTTTTTATTTCAGAAGGGGTAGACCACTGGAAACTTGGGGGAGAAATTCAAACTATTCTGAGTGTTGCTCTCTACCAGAACCCACACACGAAGAAAAATAGTTCATAACAATTGCCTGACAATTTTTTTATCTAATGATTGACATGAGAAATAACTGGACATCTGATGTTGTTACATTCCATAAAACAGAAAAAATTGTTTCCTATTCTGGATCGCATGGATTGGATTGAAGTGAAATCGAAATTGAAATTGAGATTGAAATTGAAATTGAAATTGAAAGCCCGAGGAGTCACTGAAAGGTGAGGAAGTCTGAATCAAATTAATTAGTTTAATTACAATGAAATTTATTATCGCATGACAAATACAAGTGTATTTCGCGATTAGACTAATTTATTAGACTTAATTAATTAAAAACGAGCACTTGTAATATTATTAATATTGTCATAATAGTTGCAAATAGTTGGATAAGAATGTTTATATATTTGTTTTTGAAAATTATGGGTCTTTTAGTTGGAATCGAATGATTAAAGGTTTCCAGGAATTATTTTGTAGATCGTAATGATGGACTTGATTACTTGTAACTTCGTTGAAGTACTGTGTAGGCCGTGTAGGATCGTTTCAATAGCTAAAAAAAATCACTCAATTCAATTATCAACTATCAACAATTATCAATCACAAATTAGCGAGATGCTTCCGAATAGTCACTTTACATAAAATCATTTTTAATTGCACTAATTTCTCATTTTATTCGCGGGGTTTCAATCATTTTTTATAAACAATACTCGCGATCCACTCGATTTTTCATTCAAAGGGCTAACTAAATATTTTACACATGTATTTTATATATGTACATTTTTCCGAGTTTTCGGTGGTTAAAAAAAAAAGACGAGTTAACCGACTCGTTTTTGGATGAATTTAGAATGTGATTATTTATATTTTTTATTTATATTCAATCAACTGCACTCGTGACAAGTTTAAGGGCCGGATGGAGTATCTCGGAAAGATAATTTACTCCAAAATTGGGATTCCTAATTACTCCGCCGATTAATTGTTTTTTCCGATAATTATTAACTAGTGCTCTAGTTGTTGACAACCGCTAGAACGCTAGCTAACAATTATTGAAAAAAAAAAACGATTAATTGCCAGAATAATTAGGAATCCCAATTTTGGAGTGAATTATCTTTTCCAGATAATCCAACCAGTCCTTAACATTTCAGTTTCTCAATATTTTCGAGTTTCTAGAAAATGGAGAAATTATAAAATCACTTGTTCGCATTAATATTATCAATAAATTCCATCAATATTATTATTATTACCAGGTGAATTTTTATGTAAAAATGTATTAATTAATTTTAATTTTTAAAAATTATTTTTGGCAAAAGCGTACTTAGAAAAAAATTGTATATCTACAAATATTATTGCTAATATATTTTATATTGTTTCATGAATTTTTGTTAATTAAAGAATCCATTCGGAAGCACAAATGATCCATAAATCGACATACATTGCTGCAAGCAGCTAGAGAAAGTACTATAACATGACCACTGGTAAAAACAACAGGTCGTAATGTCCGAGCCATCATAAAAACTAAATAACGCCTAGCCCGATTGGACAGCAGATACCAATTCAAATCATAAATTCCAGCAGATAAATTTTCACACTGAAATAAGAGAAAAAGATAATCCATCGTTGCACTTGTGCACATTCTTCACACGCAATTATTTATATTCATTACTTTGAAAGTTGCTTCATTAGCAACGGCGCACAGTGCCGAAATTTGCATGAGCATGCACATAAAATACAGTAAGAAAAATAAAGCTTTCGTAGAGAGAAGTTGTACTTGCGACAGCATGAAGATACTGACGCATATGATGATTGAACTCGCTGTGTACTGAACGAAAATTACACCTTTGTACAGCTCATTTATTCTCTCCGCTATTCTAGAATCGCTCGGCAAATGGTACATACATACAGAATTCAGGATTCATAATAAACGAGTAACTTTGTGAAGAATTATCACTTGGTTTCATTACGAGGGGTTATTCATTGATAAAATGACGCTAAATCTGTCCTGAAATCATGGGAACCCCCGGGAAATCATGGAATCAATGAAATAGGAATTCAATAATTTTCATTGATTTCATATAAAATTACTTGCAATCACTTGAAATAATTTTAAATCATCTAAAACGATTTTCAATAATTCCAAATAATTTAAAATCATTTAGAATAATTTAAAACCATTTAAAATAATTAAATAATATAATTGAAATAATAAACCACTTGATATTTAAAATCCTTAAAAATCGTGAAATCAGGAGAAATTTTCTAAATAATCAAATTCAATTGAAATCACGTACAAAAAATCACAGATAATAGGAAAATGATTGTATCATTATATTTGACTATAAATAATAATGATCACTGTACATAATATTTGACAATAAATAATCCCCCGTGTTATCCAACATACTCAAAAATTGCTCGATGATACTTCACGCAGTCAACAATTCGCCTCTCACAAATTTCCATTGCTCCAAAAATATCTTCGTGAGATTTCACGATCGCAGTCTCCAATTCACCAACAGCCTTTTCCAATCGATCTCTCAGGATATTGAACTGGGCACATACGAGCATGAAGAATCCTAGCAGAGCCGTATCAAAACCACAGGCTACATTAGCCACAAAAATAACAACAAGTAATTGTAAACAAAATGTCAACCAGTAGAAGATAGGTGTCGAATAATTATAGGGTATCCAAGCCTTATAAGGCAGATCACCATAGGGAATATCTTGAAAGAATACGGAGATGGTCATGGCCCACACGGAAGCTTCAACGACTCCCCCATAAATCCACGAGATCAATCTTCACAGGACACAAAAATTCCAGATTAATCCACCAGTTATTAATGCCGATAATAAAATCCTGAGAATGCTGGCTCACCTGATGCGACCGATGAACTCATCCAAAATCACTTCCTCATCGGTATTGATCGGCTTGTGGGGATGACCCTCCAAGGTCGTGATCAGCGCGATGATCTCGGATTTTTTCATTAAAATCATATCAACCTTGACACAAACAACGATAGCCGTGAGCAGCATGAAAGAGCTATCAGAAAAATCCTCAACACTGTCAACAATTGTGAAGAGACTGATGGATTCAGTGACGCCGAACCAGTAAAGTGCACCGATTATTGAAATTGTGTAGATCCTGTAGACTCTGGACTTCCAGGAGTTTGAGGACCACTTGACTGGACACCACAAGCCAATGTACTGGAGATGATTGAAATTCTCTTTGAGCAATGACATTGTCTCAACCATTTTCTCCACCATTTCTTTAACCTCTTCACCCTCTTCAGGTACTGAAATACAATGCGAGCCCTTCGACGAGGCAGTCAGTGATCTCCAATGTACTTCATACAATATTCATTACCTCATTATCTCCAGATGTCAGTACTCCCTCCGTATTTTCATCCCCTCAGTGAAAAAGGGGTGATATTGTCGCTGGAAAAAAACATTTTTCACCCCTTCAACAGCACCGGGGATTCATCTATTATTGATCAGGCATCGATGAACGTCTATCCCCTCGCTGTGTACCTCCGCAGAAAATATCTAGTAGATGGAAATCATCTAGGGGATGCAGCGTGTTCTGGAAAGGTCTACAATCATCTCCACGGAGTTATTGTGATTGTGTAATTGAAACTGGTAATCAAAACTTTATTGAATCGGTAGTTAGGAGTATTGGTAATTGTCTAGTATACGATCATCACGGATAATTATTCAGATAATAATTTCTAGGATTCAGATATATTCTGGACTACTAATTGGAGTTCTGCTGGAGCATCGTGTACGCTGAATACGATCGTTTTAGGAGCTGAAATAATGAAAACAATCAGAAAAAATAGAACAAAGATTTGAATGTCGGAGCAATGGAGGTGAGTGAGGAGTTTATATACATTGCTGAAGGCATTAAGGGAAAGAACGATGACATGACCACTCATGAAGACAACCGGTCGCAATGTGCGAACCATCATGAGAATTAAATAACTCTTAGCACGACGGGGCAACAGGTACCAATTCATGTGATAAATACCGCTGGATACATTTTCACACTGAAAAAAAAAATAATTAGTTGCACGGAGTTGCGTTAATTGTTATTAAATTTAATTAATGATTGATGGTTGTCATGTGGGTTTTACTTCGAAAGTTGCTTCATTGGCAACGGCGCAGAGTACGGAAATTTGCATCAGCATACAGAGAAAGTACAACAGAAAAAATAATGATTTTGTTGAGAAAAGTGGTACTCGCGACAGCATGAAGACACTGACGCATATGATGATTGTACTCGCTGAGTACTGAACGAATATTATCCCTCTGTACAGATAATTTATTCTCTCCGCAAGTCTAGAATCGCTCGACAAATGTTACGTATGCTCACAACTCAACCTTTCTAATAGGTGAATTACTTTGAAATTAATGATTATTTGTCTTCATCCAACATACTCGAAAATCGCTCGATGATATTTGATGCAATGTTTAATTCGATTTTCACAAATTTTTGCTGCATCCGATGTCTCTTTTTGAGATTTCAATATTTCTGTTGCTTTAAATTCATCAATTGCTTTTTCTAATCGATTCTTCAACATGTTAAACTGAGCACATATAAGCGTGAAGAGTCCGATCAGCACCGTATCGAAACCAAAGGCTACGCTAGCCAGGAAAATAACGACAAGTAATTGTAAAGAAAATGTAAACCAGTAGAGGATAGGTGTCGAATAGTCATAGGGTATCCATGCTTTATATGGCAAATCTCCATAGGGGATTCCTTGAAAGAATACGGAGATTGTCATGGTGAACACAGAAACTTCTCCAAGTCCTCCGTAAACCGAGGAAATTAATCTTGACATCGCGGGAGCATAATAATTTCGAATTAATATTCCTGCATTGAACTCAATGAATTATGAGTATTATTGACTTACCTGATGCGAGCATTAAATTTCTCACAGATACTCTCTTCATCGGTGTTGATTGGCTCGTGGGGGTAAGTCTCGAATGTCCTGACCAGTGCCACAACTTCAGATTTTTTTGACAAAATCATGTCTATCTTGAAGCAAACGACTATCGTTGTTAGCAGCATGAAAGAATTATCAGAGAAATCGTCAATGCTATCAACAACAACGAACAAATTGACGAATTCGGTTATACCGAACCAGTAAGTCGCGGTTATTAGAAAAGCGGTGTAAAACCAGTAGGCCCTTGACTTGAAACTGTCAGTGGGCCAGACAACTGGCGACCAAAGTCCGATGATCTGTAGTTGAATGAAATTCTCTCGGAGTAACACCATGATGTGCACCACCGATCCTGGCAATATTGATTATTCTAACGAATTAATTTGACCTACTGTACCAGGAGGTTCGATATCCAATGGGGAATTCCTTCAGCTGTCAGCAGCGTTGAAGCTCCCTTTCCTAGATGCACCAGCCAGTACCATACAATGTGAACCCCTTCAACTGACGTACCAGTATGACACAACAGTCACCCAACTCCCGCCAACGCACTTCATATACAATTCCGCAGTCATTACCTTATTATCCCCAGATGTCGAAACTCCACGCGTACTTCCCTTCCATCTCTGAAAACGGGGTGATTTCAACGCTGAAAAGACATTTTTCACCCCTTTTCCAGCTAGACAGGACGACGACAATGAAAATTCATTTATTATTAATCCGGCGTTGGATGACTTGCGTCGTGTTACAATGTAATATCACTAAAAATGTCCAGTACCCACTGCAGCCGAGAGAGACTAATATACACCGTGAAGACATGAGGAAGTGGAATTCAAAGTAAATGGGGAAGTTCATACGACAATATTGCAGATGTAATCGAAACCAAGAGATATTCTCATATTACCGAAATCCATACCACTCATCACATATCGTACTTGCGAATTTATTGAACATGAAACCAGAAAATCCGACAATACTATAAACATTGAGGTTCAATCATTCCCACATAAATCACAGCGATATTCCTCTCCAAGATGTCATAGTTCTCCAATAAATCTCCAACAACCGGATGATTGAATCCCCTATAACGCAGATATTGTCTTCAGGTATTAATTAGAATTTTGCTGCAGCACATTGTAAGCGGAATACGAGTGCTTCACGAGCTGAAAACAATTCCAAATTAGTGGGCAGAAAAAATTTAAGATTATTATCATACATTACTGAAGGAGCTCAGAGACAGAACGATAATGTGACCACTCTTGAAGAAAACAGGGCGTAACGTGCGTACCATCATCAGACCTAGATATCTCTTGGCTCCATGACTCAGGTGATACCATTTTGTATTATAAATACCCATTACCACACTCTCACACTGAAACAACATAACTAACAGTTACCAATATCCCCCGCCAATTCACACCCAAAATTCACGTTTTTTAAATTCATTAACAAATTATCGATGAGATCAATGTAAAAAAATAAAACATTCTTACGTTTTGTTATTATTTATAAATAAAGTTTCAGGCTTAGCCCATCATTTCATGGATCTTCCACAAATTGTTGTGATTGTTTATAAAAATTTAGGAAAAACGAAGAAAAATGCGCACCAGTTTAAAAATTCGGCATTATTTAATGATAAAATCCAAAAATTTTATAATTTTTATGATCCCATAGTAAATTTTCTTATAAAAATGAAAAAACTTGAATTTTGGGTGTGAATGGGTGCAGAACACCCTTGGAATGTATTTTTATAATGCGAGGGTTTTATTACTTCGATTGTCGCTTCATTCGCTGAAACGCAGAGCAGAAATATTTGTGACAGCATGCATATGAGGAACAAGATGAAGTACATGCATTGAAAAGAAAATAATGGCATTTGCGACAGCATGAAGATGCTCAGACATATGATTATGCAGCTCGCCATGTACTGCACGAAAATTATGTTGCTGGAGATGGAATTTATCTTCTGGGATATTCTGAAATAATTTTGGAGTGATAAACACATGATAGATATCTTCTCCATTATTTGTTAATAGAAATAATTATGTAATTATCGTTATTATTTTAATTATTTGTTAATCCTATTTGGACGAATATGAAGAATAATTTCTATGAATTGTTCATCGGGAGCTGCCATGAGTGAACCGAAGAAATAAAAAAGTTATTGTCGATATCTTCTCGTTTTTCATGTTTTATTATTATTCTATATAATTATCTATATAAATTGAATTAAATTATATAAAATAATGGAGATGTAAAAAATTGTAGGAATTCAATGAATTCTGGATAAATTCATAATTATCTTAGGTTCTCTGTGAATTTTTACAAAAATAGAGACAGGACTTTAATTA